TACCTAATAGCTATAATAGTTTTCTAAAAAAATAAATCTTAATGTTGTAGGTGACACGCCGGTTTTTCCAATTTTCCACAATTCTAAAAAATTTGAAAATTTGAAATCCTTATATTTAGTTGCTACCATAATTGTAATACTTTTCCACTAATCTACTGCTCAATACCTATTTAAGGGGTGGGGAAGGGGGTGCTTATACGGTTTATTGAATATTATATCAACAAAAATGACTTCATAGGAAAAACATTCACTTTTCATTGGTATGTGGAATTTTGATAATTTTTTTTTTTATCTGAAAGGAGAACTTTTTTTAGGTCGGATTGAGGCCTGCATTTTCATTTTACATTAAGTAGTGCTAGAAAAATATGCTTGGAAAAACAACATGTATTGTGCATTATTTAAATGCATATTATTATTTTAGCTTCTTTAATTATTATAATTTTTAAAATTTGGCTATAATCCTACTTGCAAAATGAACGAACTCCGACTATATACTATTACAGGGCGTGAAAGTTTTTCCTGTGAGACATTATTTTGTACTAAAGACGTACAGGATACAACGCCCTTAAGAGTCTTTGAAAATGCATGATTGATCTTTAATTATAGAAGTTTAAAATATACTGGTTATGACGTTTTGCCGTATGCATTAGGTATCTATAGTCTAGCATAGATTAAATATACTCGTTTTAACTTTTAAGTATAACTCGCTTTAAAATTAAAATATAATAAAAAGCCATGACGTTGCCTAGATAATAATCTTACCTATAAATGTAATAAGAGCTCCATTTACTAAATTTTTTAAACTAACGGAGCTAAACGTGATCTATTGAACGTACAATTTGCTATAATACACTTGTAAGACGGAGACAACATATGCGGGTACCACGTCCTCTTAAACATATAATTAAAATTTAACGAATGTAGTAGATAGGAAAATACACCAATACGCTAAATTGAAATATTTCCCAATTTTTCTGACTTTAATATTTTATCTGTAGGGAATATTAAATTGGTGGATTTAACGTTAGAACAACTGAATAACCGCCATGTATGTAATTTACATTTTAAACCCACGGATTTTAATAATATTGAAACACGACAAAGACTAAAACAAAAAGCAGTTCCAATGAAGTACGATTTTACTGAGTTACCAGTTAATGTGGAACAATACATTCCAATTTCATCTTTTAACGAATTTAAAGACTGCGAATCACCAAATTTACACGTTAAAACTCCAACCAAAATGTACAAAAAAAAATGTCCAAGAACACCTATCGAATCTCCTCATCTTCCAGCTACATTAAATGCATCACCGTCTTCGCCAATTTTAACTTATGAATGTTCTCCGTCAACAAGTTCTATGATCAAATCATTTATAGATATTATGCCTTCACCAATTAGTACTCAAGAACGTCGAATAAACAAGGCAAAAACAGTTCTCTTTCCTATCGAACAAAGCCCAAAAAAGTCAAAAAAACATTTTGAAGACTTAATTCGAAAAAAAAATATACTGTTAAAAAATAAAACATCTACTATAAGTAAATTAAAAAAAAAAATACAAGTTTCTCGTAATAAATATAATTTACATACTTTTAAAAATAATATTACATTTTCAAGTTTTGGATCAAAAGTCATAGCAGAAATGCAAATGTTTCATAAACGTAATTCAAGGAAACCCTGGACACTAGCTGAAAAAAATTTTGCTATAAATTTATACTATAAATCACCTGCCACATACAAATTTCTTAGAAATAACCAACAAATAATTTTACCAAGTGAAACTACGTTACGTAGGTGGATAGGGAAGTCTAAATTTTGTCCCGGTTTTAATTCACTCTGGTTAAAGCAAATTAAAAATAAGTTGGAAACAATGTCAGATGAAGAAAAACACTGTGTTTTAATATTTGATGAAATGAAAATAAAATCTTTTTTAGAATATTCTAAGTATTTAGATATGGTTGAAGGGTTTGAAGGTTTAGGACACAAAGGTAGAACGAATAAATTGGCTACGCAGGCCATGGTTTTTGTTGTTCGAGGACTTTATAGTAATTGGAAATTACCATTGGCTTATTTTTTATCGGGTTCATCAATGAGTAGTTCAATACTAAAAGATTTAATTGTAGATGTAATCGAAAAATGTACAAATTTGGGTTTTAATATTGTGGCTCTCATTTGTAATCAAGGCTCCAATAATTATTCAGCTCTAAAACACTTAGGTTGTTGCAAAGAAAAACCATTTGTTGAAATTAAAGGTAAAACTATTTATTCTATTTTTGATGTACCGCATATTTTCAAAAATTTCAGAAACAATTTTTTGAAATATAATTTCAAATATAAAGGTCAAGAAGTATCTTTTTCAGATATTAAGTTGGCTTATAATATTGATAAAACAAGTAATACTAGTAGAGCCCTTTTAAGACTAACTGATAGTCATATGAACCCAAATCCGTTTCAAAAAATGAATTGTAAACTTGCTCTTCAAGTCTTTAGTAATTCAGTAGCAGCTGTTTTAAAAACATGCATTGCTACAGGTCAAATAAAATCAAAAACTGCCGCCGCAACCGCTGATTTTGTTCAAGAATTAAATAATTTATTCGACTGCCTAAATAGCAAAGCATTATACAGTTCCAACATATACTCTTGTGCTTTAAATTACGACAAACCTTATATACTTAATTGTTTAATGAAAGCTAAAGAATGGTGTACACAGCTGGAGTTAATACAACCTATAAAAGTATATGGTAAAGTTCTTCCGTGTTTCGACGCCATGATATGGAGCATAAACGCAATCATAATGATTTATAGACAACAAAAAAATTTAGGTTTTAAATATCTTCTTACTAGCCGTTTAAACCAAGATATCATAGAAAATACTTTTTCGGTTTTTCGACAGCGTGGATGTTTCAATAGAAACCCGACTGCTCGTACCTTTAGAACATCATTTCGGTTTCAAGCAAAACATAATCTCATGAAAGCCACTGAGTCATCAAATTGTGAAAATGATTTTGATTACAATTTATTTGATCCTGGTTCACAGAACGCAACGATTTCTACACCTAACACAGATACAGATACTTTAGTTGAATCAGTTTCAGACTCATTTGTATCTTCGGAAGAGGAGGGTAATTTCAATCAATGTCTCAATAATAAAGAAGAACAAATAACATTAGAAACCTGTTCAAATACATACTTTGCTGGATATTTGGCCAAAAAATGTATAGATCAATTTAAATGCACTAAATGTGAATTAATAATTTTAAAAAGTAACGATTTTTTGTTTGATGACCAAGAGTATTTAATTTTTTATACAAACAATTTGAAAGTGCCGATATTGAAAGAAGTAGTCTCAAAAACCCTTCTGATTTATTTATAAACTTTGTTTCTACAGCACAAAAGTGTTTAAAAGATTTTGTAGAACTAAATCCTCATAAAAGAAAATTGTGTGCAACCATCCAACTAAAAATAAAAAATGAATTGATTTCTGATTTAAATTTTGATCCAAACTGTGATCAACATATTGATTTTATTATCCAAAAATTAATAATTTGTAAATTATTAAGGCATTTTAATTGGACATCCAAACATTTGAAAGGACGTTCTAGTGTACAAACAGTGAATAAATTAAACATTTTGAAAAATGTTTAAGCTTAACATAATATTATGTAAGAACCTAATTTATTAGTTGGCATGTAAATAGGTATGTTGTAATAAAATGGTGTTGCCCGGTGTTGGTACATATTATATGTGCGTATTAATTGTATTATTTTTTTTAGTTCTGATAGGTTAGGTTTTCTTTTATTTTGCAGTGTTAAAATTGTATGGTTTTACGATGTATTATTTTTCTTTATTTAACTTTGTAAAAAAATATTTACCTAGGTAAACATATGGTTAAAATATTTTATGAAAAAAAAATAATATTTGATTTGTACAATTGTTTGGTAATTTTTAATTATTATAATTATTATTAATATTGTCCTTGGAACTTTTTATAAAGATTTTAATATAAAGATAGGTATTTTAAACAATTTTTACTGTATTTTATAAAATGTAAAATATTATACTAGCTTTTAAGTTATACAACTAAACCTTATAAAATATTATACTTATAAAATTATAAAGGAATTTTTTTTTACTACAACAATAATTTTAAGATTTCATAATTATGTAAAATTTTTACTTGTTTTATAAAATAAAATTAGGTTCTCTCATTACCCCTTTTATGAAAAAAATAATAATGTTGTTTTGGATTTTAACAACTAACTAGGTAAGTACTTAATAAAGATAAATTATAAATCTGTAGGTAATTGCAGAATTGTATTATTATAATACCTATAATATTTGTATTTTAAAGTCTATCGATGTAAATGTTACAAAGAATACATAGAAATTAATTTGTTTATAAATAAATAATATTTTAATAATATTATGTTAGTTGCCGCCGTTCACGTGTACCTATAACGTATCATATATGCCAGTTGCGCAACGCGCTAGTAGGTATATTGCTTTTTCAAGTGTTTCAACTCGGCGCACGGCTTTGACGTCAGCGCATGCGCAAAATCTATAATACTTTAGCGATCCTATGGGGGTCCATTAGTACTACTCTGCCGGGATCCAAAACGTGAGCATATCTGGTTGCCGCGTTATATCATGGCGTAGGCTATCTATAGTAAATTTAATCTATGAGTCTAGATTCTACACAAATTATACAACCGAGATATGTGATAATATAAAAAAATATATAAATTATTAAGTTCATAATACATACGTCCATAATTAAAATTATTGAAATCTTCTTTATTATCTGAAATTATATTATTATAGTATTAATACCTATTAATTATACCTAGGTACTGTATAACTACTCAGGTTGTTGCTGCGATAGCAAGTCGACACCTTTCGAAATAAACTATAAACAAACTAGCTGTTCGCGCCACGCGAAGTATCTATTCTGTTATTTACTTTTCTCGCTGGAACATTGGTCATCTTCGGGCCGGATTAAAATGACTGCCGAACTTAAAGATCTCATCAGTCGTCGGGGTGTTATGAAAAGGCAAATCATTTCTTTTCAAAAATTCTTTGACAGCGGCATCATCACAGATGCATCAACAAATATGGAACTAAGCATGCGAACCACGAGACTTGAAGCTTCTTACGAGGACTTCCTTGCTGGTCCAACCCAGATAGAGTTATTGGATTCCCGTGAAGAGCAGCTGGCAGAACGCTCAGCTGTAGAAACAGCCTACTACGCAGCAATATCACCGGCTATGGTTCTTCTTGAGGCAGCTCAAACAAATCTAAGGAGAGCAAGCCAAACCTCGAGCATCCAAAGAGCAGCTGAGTATATAAGACTGCCCAACACTGAATCAGCCGTCAGACTACCGCCAATCTCATTGCCGGAATTTGATGGTGACTACAAAAAGTGGCACAAGGACCTCTCGGACATTCAGAAATTGCACTATCTCAAATCCTCGTTGCGAAATGAAGCGGCACAAGTCATCGAATCGTTGGAGACAACAGCTGCGAACTATTTACCCAACTGGAAGCAGCTCCGTGAGCGATATGACAACTATCGTAAAATGGTCGGAGGGCACCATCCACGCACTATGCAGCATGCCATCAATAACGAAGGTTTTATCAGCCATTTTGAGAAGTCACCAGAACGGTATAAATAGTCACCTGCGAGCGTTAACGGCCCTCAAACTTCCGGTAGAACATTGGGACGCCATAATCATCCACCTAATAGTAGAATAATTAGACTTCGAATCCCACGGTTTATGGGAAAGTAGCTGTTGCGTAAAGTCATATGCCCGGCAGCGTTACATAACGCAACGAATGTAGATCGTATTGAGACGGTCGCAACGGCCCCAGTCGTCGCACGGACAGCCACACTGTCGCATATCGTCGTGACGGCCTCATACGGGATAGATCCGTAGTACATTTAATATATGTGCTTCTATACTACGACAAAGTATTGACACTTTATATCACAACACAAGTCTTGTGCTCGCGCCTTGTACGCATATGAGCGACATAATATATATACGTACAAGTCTTGTATTCGCGCCTTTACGCCTTTGAGTGAAGTGATAGTACTGTTCTATACGTACGCCAGTGTTCTTTCTTCACCTTCACCATCATCGTCATTACCAATTCCTGGAAGGTATTTCTCATCTTCAACGACATCTCAACAACCACTCTGAAGCCAGTGCCAGGTCATCACACATACGGTTGTCGTGAGTCGGCTATACGCCATATTATTATTGTCATTGCAAATGTTATTATATTGTCATTTGCTACTATTCATTATTTATTATTATTGTTAAGTTACTAACACCATTGTATGTAAGGTAAAGATTATTGTATTCCTTGCAAAATATTATTATTTCTTCTCTACCATTTATTAGCGTTGTTATTATTATGAGTACCTCTCTGAATATCCCACAGTGACCCAACAAGAGTCACCATCACCGGTAAAATTATTATATAGCGTGGCCAACGAGCTCATTATTTATTAACGAGAATTGGTACGCATCATTTGGTCCTTCGAACCGGATGGTGATCCTTGTGAGGGTATAATTACTTGTGAGGTATTTGTGCCGTACCTTTTATTCAGTAAAAAAAAACCATGAGAGGTTAGGTTTTTTATTTTGTTAATGCTTCACTCACTCTGTATACTCCTGTCAATATTCCGCATCCACCATCTGCGATATTCTGGGCTTTGATTATATCTCAACTTTACATTTGGTCACGTCGTACAAGGTTCAATTCTGCATCGATTCCTGAGTGTAACAAGTTTATCATAGCACAACGAAATATACCAGTCAACCTTGAATTCACGTTTATTTTGCTTTTACGATAAATACTGTTGGGCGTCTTCGTCGCCGTCGCCGCGTCTAATCTTTGGACTTTGGACTGTTCAACGGTAATTCTTCGGTCATCACGCGTGTGTACAGATTTACCTGTTCCGTAATCGCTACCGGTCTTCGTCCAATTAGTCGCGTATTGGCAACAAGTGTTAACGACGTCAATTACGATAGCTAAGTTAAGGTCCAGGTAACGGTCATTAGTCTGAAAAAGGGACATCTAAACAACATAAGTGTTATTTCTTATTACGTTCCGACTGATGTATGCAAATCATTAATCATTATTTAATACATATTGATATATTTACGTAAGCTTCAAATTTCAATCTTGGATTTTCAAGTAAATAACTTAAAGTTGAAGCGTCATTATGTCGCTGACCACAGGAGATCGGGAGCGACTCGAGCGATTACTAAAACGAAATATTTATAAACGAGACCAAGCCGTGGAGCAAATTTCGATTTTAATGGGTGTTGTTAATAGCACAAAAAGTGAACAGTCCGATATCGCGATACTGCAACCGAGACTGGATGATCTTGAAATGTTAATTACCGACGTCCGTCTCTATCAAGATTCGATTTTAGACGGGTTTATCGAACTCGACCGCGATAGTGAATTCATTACAACACACCACCCGATAGGAAAACTCGCATTAGAACAATATTATACCATTAAATCTATATGCAATGAAATTGGTTTAACTAAGCAGAATCCAGTTTCACCACCTACCACACGAAATATTCAACTACCAAGAATAGAATTGCCGTCGTTCGACGGAAATATTCTACATTGGCGAGCCTTCCGTGACACATTCGTGTCTCTAGTGCACGACAATGATCAAGTACCACCGATTCAAAAATTCCACCATTTATTGTCTGCCGTATCAGGTTCGGCGGCTGCTACGGTAAAATCGGTTCCATTGATTGAAGCCAATTATCCAATTGTATGGCAAAATTTGAATGATCGCTTTGACAATAAGCGTGTTCTGTTAGGTGCACATATGGATACACTTTTTCGAGTTTCTCCTATAAAAACCGAGTCTCTCGTGGAGTTAAACAATTTTCTAACTACATTCCAGGAAAATATAGCAGCGATAAATGCACTCGAAGTCGATGATTTTCCTGGTTTCTTTTTATTTTATCTTGCGGCTCGTATATTGGATCCTGTAACTCGTCAAGCATTTGAATTTGAATATCACGCCGCTGAAGTACCTACTTTCGACATGTTGGCTGATTTCGTACGAATTCGGTGCCAAATGTTACAAAATTCAAGTTCAGCATCGAGACCTAATGATGGGTACAAAAATAATTTTAAATCTAAAGTCTCATTAACTACATCGTCGACTTCTCCAACGGTATTATGTGGGATATGTAAAGGCAAACATGCAGCGTATCAGTGTCCAAAGTTTATCCAGCAGAACGCGAAACAACGTTTTCGACTTGTGAAATCAAACAGGTTATGCACGAACTGCTTAAGTACGTCCCACAAAACGTCTGACTGCGAATCGACATATACCTGCCGTCATTGTGCACTAAAACACCATTCTTTATTACACCTGGATACCGCACAAGCACGAAAAAATTCCTGTCCTACGAATAAAAGCACCAAAGTTAATCAATCGACACCCACGCCCACAGATACATCCGTACCAACCGTGTCTAATATGACCGACGGTGTGCCGTTTGTGGGAACGTCTAGTTCGAAAACCAACGTAGTACTGGGTACAGCGGTTATACGCATACGTAATAACTGTGGGCAATTATCTCCCGTTCGTGTGCTTATTGATACTGGGTCACAAATATCCGTCATTACTACTGCGTGCGTATCAAGATTGGGAATCAAACGTAGGCATTGTAATACCGCGGTAACTGGTTTGTCACAAACATCGGTATCTACAACAAAGGGCTCAACTAATTGTACTTTACTACCACGTCACTCGACATCACCAGAAATTTATTGTGAACCTGTAATTTTGTCTAGGATTACTGGACCGATGCCGAACGTACTATTACCTAGTAACATTCGTACCACCTATTCGCATTTAACGCTTGCCGACCCTCATTTTGACGTACCAGGTCATATCGATTTCTTGCTGGGCGCAGATATTTACCCGTATATACTAGGACAATCTTGTCAGGTACTACATACCTCAAATTGTCCATCAGCTTTCGAAACACGTTTAGGGTGGATAATAGTGGGTCAATCTTCTGCGGACTCGCGTACACCCCCGGTTTCCTTATTGTTGACACCGGAGCCTTCGATAGACCATCTAATCCAGCAGTTCTGGGCCGTCGAAGAACCAGTACCAACGAACAGTATGTTCACTACCGACCAACAGTGTGAAGACCATTTTATTCGTACAACAACTCGCGATAGTACAGGTAGATACTCATTAGCACTACCATTCAGTATGGACCCATCGTGTCTTGGCGATTCTCGGGACATGGCGATATCACGGTTCTATAATTTGGAACGAAAATTGTTGAAAGACCCGCAGGTATATGAGCACTATCGCCTGTTCATGCTCGAGTATGAAAACCTTGGTCACATGAAGATGTCTTCAAAACCGGGAAAATATTATGTTCCCCATCATGCTGTGGTGAAACGAGATGGACCAAAAATGAAACTTCGAGTGGTCTTCGACGCTTCGGCCAAGTCGTCTTCGGGAAAGTCATTGAACGATTTGCTCCATGTTGGACCTAAGTTACAGACAGATATCACCGAATTGTTACACCGTTCTCGTTTCAACCAATATATATTCACCGCGGACATTTGTAAAATGTACCGCCAAATCAGAATTCATACAGAAGATTGTCAATACCAGCATATATTCTGGCGTGCAACACCACAAGAACCCCTACGTGACTATGAGCTTACGACGATTACGTATGGACTCACGTCGTCTCCGTTCCAAGCGATTCGAGTGTTGCACGAATTAGAGCAAAACGATGGACATCTTTATCCGACAACCGGTAATGTTTTGTCAACACAAACCTACGTTGACGATATTCTGACTGGTCGCAATAGCGTTAAAGATTTACTTGAACTACAGGACGAAATCACCGAGATGCTCGGCCGAGGTGGTTTTGAGTTAAAAAAATGGTCGTCAAACTGTAAAGAATTACTCTCTAAAGTTCCAAATGAAGATCAAGCTAATAGTTTGTCTTTTGATCCTAAAGACGATGCGGGAGTAAGAATACTTGGATTACATTGGAATCCAGCTGCCGACACCTTTACCTATCATACGTCCTCCATAATATCTAATATTCATACCAAAAGATCAGTGTTGTCAACGATCGCCAAACTATATGATCCTCTTGGTGCTCTTGCTCCCATCATATTTTGGGCCAAATGCTTCATGCAGTTACTCTGGCAAGCGGGTCTTCAATGGGACGAGCCATTACCGTCACACTTAATTGACCTGTGGAAACAGTACGAGTCTGAATTGCACATGGTCTCGGGGATAAAAATTTGTCGCCATATTCCCACCGAGAAGCTCACTAGCGTGCAACTTATTGGTTTTTCAGATGCATCGGAGAAAGGTTATGCCGCCGTGGTCTATTTGCGCACTATTCACCAGGATGGGCGTGTACTAATACATTTTATTACTGCCAAATCAAAGGTTTCACCCTCCAAGACTAGCAACACCAAGACCACGTTGACTATACCACGCTTGGAACTGTGCGGTGCACTATTATTAGCACAAGTGCTACATCGGTTAACCAACACATTTAAAGGTAATACAGTCATCTCAGAAACATTAGCCTGGACAGATTCATCTATAGTATTATCATGGCTCACGTCACCTCAGTCAAGTTTTAAAATATTCGTAACCAACAGACTTGCAAAAATTGCCGAAATTTTACCCACTTGTCAGTGGCGACATGTTGTGTCGGAGTCAAACCCAGCGGATTGTGTATCAAGAGGTTTATTCCCATCACAGGTTCATGACCAACATTTATATTGGCAGGGGCCTCCGTTCTTAAAATTACCGGACTCTGAATGGCCAATCACATCGTTCAAACCAATTCAACCATCACACTTGCCAGATTATTCGGATCCAACAAACGCGTGCTTAATGGTGGTGCCGGAAAAGGAAGTTGAATGGTTCACACGTTTTTCGTCATTGAAACGTATGCAACGCGTCACCGCCATCATGTATCGGTTTATAAGGCATACGCGCACGAACCGTGTCCCATACGTCGCACCCAAATATATATATGACCCTATCTCCGATGAAGAAATTTCGAATGTGATGTTACCGATCATTCGTATGACACAATCAGTACACTTCGTAAGTTTGTTGAGGATCCTACAAGTACCAACTACAAAGATAGTTCCTCGTTCAATTGCCCAACTTGCGCCGTTTATTGATAAAAACAACATTATACGGGTGGGTGGACGACTCCGAAATGCATTGGTATCACCAGAAACAAAAAACCCAATATTGTTGCCAAAATCAAGTACGTTGACTACACTCATTATTCGTAATTTCCACTGGAATCACTTCCACGCTGGACCTCAATTAATGTCATCGTTATTATCAAGTTATTATTGGATAATATCCAGTCGATCGGCCATACGTCACGTTATCTTCAAATGCGTTGTGTGTGCTCGCCATAGAGCGTCGGTTACTCATCCTATGATGGCCGACCTCCCATCCAGTCGAGTAACATTATGCCGACCATTTTTGCACGTTGGTATCGACTTTGCTGGACCACTTATCCTAGCTGAGAGCCGTCGTAAGAACTCACGATCAATAAAATGTTACCTTGCTATCTTCGTGTGTATGACTATCAAAGCTGTACACATTGAAGTGGTTTCTGACCTTTCAACTAACACGTTTTTGGCGGCTTTACAACGCTTTGTCGCTCGACGTGGTACCCCATCAGACATTTACACTGACTGTGGAACGAACTTTAAAGGAGCAGATCAAGAAATACGTAACATAATGTTAGACTCCTCCACCGCCAAGACAACATATACGAATGCGATTTCATGTAAGTGGCATTTTAACCCTCCTGCAGCCCCACATTTTGGTGGCCTGTGGGAGGCGGCTGTAAAATCCACAAAATATCACTTAAAACGAGTTGTGGGTACTCAACGGTTAACGTTTGAAGAAATGGTCACATTAACAAGTCGTATTGAAGCTCTACTCAATTCTCGACCGATAACTCCATTGTCTGCTGATCCTAATGATTATCGTGCACTAACTCCAGGTCACTTCCTTATTGGTCATCCAATGGTTGAAATACCAGAAAAGGACGTAATTGACATACCTCAAAATCGTCTCAATCGTTGGGAACTCCTACGACAAATGTATCAATCACTCTGGAAAAGATGGTCAACAGAGTACTTGTCATCGTTGCAACGACGCACAAAATGGGTAGACAATCAACCAAATGTTAAGGTTGACGATTTGGTATTGATAAACATGCCGAATCAACCACCTATACACTGGAAACTTGGTCGCATACTACAAGTTCACCCGGGTGCAGATGGTGTGGTCCGTGTAGCCACAGTGCGTACTGAACATGGAACCCTCACACGACCAATTGTCAAACTAGCCATCCTTCCTCTTGATAAGTGATTACTTCTATTCCTATTATTCTCCTGTTTACGTGGGTGAATTATTATTAATTATTTATTGTTATTTTATATTGTTTTCGTGAATTTGCATTGTATAATTATTACGACAAGGTAGCCGGTATGTGTGTTGGATGGGCCGGGAAAAGGGAGATGTTCAAACTTCAAAGTATAAAGAGGAAGACTAAAATAATTGAAAGTCATCTATAACCTTTCAATTGGGGGAGTATGTTGCGTAAAGTCATATGCCCGGCAGCGTTACATAACGCAACGAATGTAGATCGTATTGAGACGGTCGCAACGGCCCCAGTCGTCGCACGGACAGCCACACTGTCGCATATCGTCGTGACGGCCTCATACGGGATAGATCCGTAGTACATTTAATATATGTGCTTCTATACTACGACAAAGTATTGACACTTTATATCACAACACAAGTCTTGTGCTCGCGCCTTGTACGCATATGAGCGACATAATATATATACGTACAAGTCTTGTATTCGCGCCTTTACGCCTTTGAGTGAAGTGATAGTACTGTTCTATACGTACGCCAGTGTTCTTTCTTCACCTTCACCATCATCGTCATTACCAATTCCTGGAAGGTATTTCTCATCTTCAACGACATCTCAACAACCACTCTGAAGCCAGTGCCAGGTCATCACACATACGGTTGTCGTGAGTCGGCTATACGCCATATTATTATTGTCATTGCAAATGTTATTATATTGTCATTTGCTACTATTCATTATTTATTATTATTGTTAAGTTACTAACACCATTGTATGTAAGGTAAAGATTATTGTATTCCTTGCAAAATATTATTATTTCTTCTCTACCATTTATTAGCGTTGTTATTATTATGAGTACCTCTCTGAATATCCCACAGTGACCCAACAAGAGTCACCATCACCGGTAAAATTATTATATAGCGTGGCCAACGAGCTCATTATTTATTAACGAGAATTGGTACGCATCAGTAGCCGTTCCAGCGAATCACTTCCTTCAATACATTAATATCTATCATTCCTGAATCAGCAGTGCAACCCCAAACTACACAAGGAATATGTCCACTTCATGCGGGAGTACATTAACCTTGGTCATATGAAGGAAGACCCTACATCAGGCCAGGCGCATCAGCAGGAGGTATTCCTGCGGGCGCATGTACACTCCGCCACAAGTACCTTTTTTTACTGTAAACTCCGCCAGAAAAAAAACAGGTAAAATTGGGTTCATGTAAACTCCGCCACTGAAAAAAATCAGGTAAAATTGAGTTTATGTAAACTCCGCCAGTGAAGAAAATCAAATAGTAGTATAAAATTAATATGATATATTATTAAAAAAAAATTATAATATAATATCATATCATATCATATCAATATTTAAATCATAGTATAAAAAATCATAATAAATAATCCAAAATCATATTTTTCATAATAATAATTAATAAATTATTTAAATTATAAATTATTATAAATTATTAATAATTTGAATCGATCTAACCTTGACAATATTTTATCAATTTTGACATATATCATCACAATAGATGTAGGTAAACGTATTTAATGTGAGAAGGCACGTGGCAATGTGAGTACTGTCGCACTGACCAGGTAAAAAAAAAAAAACTTTCGGAGTTTACATATACCCATTACAGGTAAGAAAAAAAAACTGGCGGAGTTTATCATAGACCTATTATTACCTTTTTATCTTGACCGATATTCTGGCGGAGTTTACAATCGCCCATTCCTGCCGCACCATAGCGTCATCAAGGCTGACAGCGAAACAACGAAGCTCCGAGTGGTGTTCGATGGATCCGCAAGAGGTACCAAAGGTTCATCCCTAAACAACGCATTATTGGTGGGACCAAAGGTACAGGACGATCTCTTTGCAATCACTGCTCGGTTCAGGATTCACCGGTATGTCTTCACCGGGGACATGGAAAAAATGTATCGACAAATAATAATAATGGAATCACAGACTCACAGACTCACCCTCAAAAGATATTTTGGAGGGAGAGTCCGGAACAACCTTTAAAGGTTTTTAAGTTGCAAACGGTTACTTACGGAACTTCCTCAGCCTCTTACTTGGCCACTCGAACCCTCTATCATCTCGCTCAGGATGACGGTTTTAAGTTCCCATTAGCAGCCACAGCCGTCAGCAAGGATTTTTATGTGGATGACGTGCTGACCGGCGCTGATACATTGACAGAAGCTTTAGAACTGCGAGATCAATTGATCCAATTATGTGATGGCGGCAAGTTTAAACTCCGCAAGTGGTGCGCAAACCATACTTCCCTTCTGAAAAACCTCCCTCCGGAGGATCTCGGAGAAATTCATAAGTTTACTCACGAACGAAACAACAGCTCGACAAAAACATTGGGCACATATTAGCAACCCCCGTGACGATGAAATACATTACACTTATGAGACTATTCAATGACACCAACACATGGACAAAGCTTAGAATGGTTTCTGAAATGGCCAGATTATTCGACCCTCTAGGGCTCATAGGGCCAGTTGTGGTTCAAGCAAAAATTCTTGTGGTTGAACTGTGGTGCGAAAAAATTGGTTGGGACACCAAGCTACCAGATATCCACCATAAAAAATGGGAAGGGTATTACAACCATTTGATATATGTAAAGGAAATACGAATAAACCGTCGAGTACTCCAAGTGAGTGAACCCACTGATCTTCAATTGCACATATTCTGCGATGCATCTGAAGCCGCATATGGAGCCTGTGTCTACATTAAAAGCAAGGGCAGAGATAATGTCATCAGCTGTGAACTATTGTGCTCACGATCCCGTGTAGCACTACTAAAGGTTACCGCCATACCACGCCTTGAACTCTGCGCTGCTCTACTGGCGTTGCGTCTCTCAAACAAGATCACTGCAGCTGTACCGCTTACATTTTCAAAACGTGTGATCTGGAGTGACTCTACCATAGCCCTGGCATGGATTAAAAATCACCAAGGCATCAATGACAACCCAGCCGACCATGCCAATCGAGGCTTAAATTAAAAAAAACTAAAAAATTGCAACGCATGGTGACATGGCCCTCTCTGGCTCCTGGCAAACGAACAGCAATGGCCTAACGCTGGAGTTGCCATGTTGGAATCAGAGATCCCTGAACGCAGATCTCAAATCACCATCTCCTTGAAGGTATCTACGGAGCTCAACCTGGCAATGTTTTATAACCAATTAGAAAAGCTACAACGAATAATCGCATATTGCTTGCGATTTAAGTACAATTGCCGCGCGAAAAACGAATCCATTTATGGACCCATCACTGCGGGCGATGAATATACTTCTAAAACAGGCTCAGAAGCGGTATTTTCTGGAAGAAATGAACCCGTTAGCTCGGGGTCAACATATCCGAACCAGCAGTAAGCTGAGGTCTCTGACCCCATTCATTGATGCAGCTGGGATCCTGCGAGTTGGTGGCCGGTTACAACATACGGATGCGAGTTTTGATGAACGCCACCCCATTATACTCAATTCCGATATCCACTCACAAGGCTGCTAGTCGATTACAAGCATCGACGATTGATGCACGCTGGACCAAAACACCTATTGGCTTCACTCCAGCGGCGATGTTGGATATTTGGTGGACGAAATGCAGTGCGCTTCACACGCACAAGTGTATGAAGTGTTACATATGAATAATCAGGGCAGCGACTCAATTGATGGGATCTTTGCTAGCCGCCAGGGTGACCCTATCTCCAGCATTTCATGTCACAGGCTTATATTACGCTGGTCCAATATCCATAAGGCATGGAGGAATAAGGAGCAGGGTCCTCACAAAATCTCACGTGGCACTTTTCGTTTGCTTTAGCACTCGTGATATTCACCTAGAGATGGTATCAGACCTCACTAGCGTGACATTCCTTGTGGCCCTGCGCAAATTCATATCTCGCAGAGGAAGATCGATTAAAATCTATTCCGACAATGGGACACATTTTATCGGAATATAAGGAAGACCTACCCAGGCAGACTTGCACAGAGACTTCAAGCAACCTATAAATTATAATAAATTTACATAGAAAATAAAACCAATAACAAAAATATACAGTCCACTGTTATTTACTTTCCTCGCCGGAACACTAGGTATGAAACGTATAATTGAATAAATATCGCACATTATAATTATCGAAACAACGCACTACAATAAGTTAAGATAATAACTATGCGTCGAGCAAGATAAAAACCCAAAAATAAAATATACAAAATGATATGGACTACGTAATTGAAAAAACCAAAAATAATCCACCAGTAGTTGGTACCTATACATTAAAAACAATTTAGTATATAGGTAACTATCTACAGGATAGTAGTACCTACATACCTTCTGCACGTCTACACAGCATTATTCAATGTAACCCAGCCAATACTATGTTATCCTCTCTATGTAATACTGTATGATTTAGTTAGAAATTAATAAATATCGTTATTATAATAATTAATTAACTCACCTTTAAATAGAGTATACTTAGTTATCAAAGCTATAACATTTTAAAATTACATAAAACTTTACTTGAGAGTTGAAACAATATTGATTCATTGAATGGTTCACTAAATATCTAACAAACCAAAAATGTGCCACTAAATTATTTTCTAAATACCAAAAGACTGATTTATGAAATATTTACCTAGGGATAATCTGTTTTTTTATATTTATTCAATCAGGTATAGAGGTATTGGTCTAACAAACTGGTCTTTCACAGTCTAATGGTTTATTAAATATAAAATAAAACTTTATGCCTAGTACCTATATTTTAAAGACTTAGTAAACAACTAACAATAGTTTGTTATACGCATAGACCTTATACTAATACCTATACAGTGTGATCACGATTTTAGGTAATACTGAATATCTCAGATGGGTGACTTTGTATTAAAATGGGGTTTTCGGGAGGTGATAGGGAGCACTTAAATACATATTTTCAGACCAGTTAAAATTGTTTAGCTCACTCGGTACGCGCATGCGCAATACGTCTTACTTTTTTTTAAATGGCAATCCCAGTTTTTTTCTGCAGATTCGGGTAGAGGATTTTTTTTAAAACATAATTATTAATAATTTTTCTATTTTCAAAACTGACAAAGTTAGAGTAAGTCCAAAATTGGATTTATGCATAATTTGTTTTTAATGATATTTTCATTTATTATCACTGTAAATAATAAAATAAGAGCCAAATAAATGTTTAATGGGGACAAAGTGGCCGAGTGGACTAGGGCGTCGGTTGTGACACGCACCGTCGCAGGTTCGAACTCGGCCACGGGCGGAATTTCTTCTGGCAGTCACTGGAGAGAGGCCGACATGGTGACATCCCCACCCGGGCATAGCAGATATACATACGTGTGTGTTTGTTTTGGCAGAATTTTTAATAGTGGGCACCAGTAGGTACCTGGAATGCCCGGGTGGGGAGGGGAGTCACCATGTCGAAATCTCTCTCTGGACACCGTGACTGCCAGACTTACTCTAACTTGGTCAGTTTTGAAAATAGAAAAAAACATTTTTATACAAATAAAGTTTTAACAAAAATACTCTACCCGAATCTGCAGAAAAAATCTTGGGTTGTCCTTTAAAAAAAAAGTAAGACGTATTGCGCATACGCGTACCGAATGAGCTAAACATTTGAAATTGGTCTGAAAATATGTATTTAAGTGCTGTATATAAGGTCTATGGTTATACGTTTGTTAATAATTATTATTAACTAACGAATCTCATAAAAAATTATTATATCGCAAACAGTAGCGGATCTGAAGCCCATTTAAGGAGGGGGCGAATTAGTATCATAGCATTTCAGTATATGCATATTAGTCTATAAACATCTGTTATATTTTTTTTTCTATATTATATAAAAAAAAAATTAAACCTTATAAAAATTCAACAGTCTTTTATTCAATATTAAATAAACAAATGTTTTAATAATTTACTTGAGCAACAATTGTATGATTCTTTTTTGATTTTTTAAATCTGTCAATGAACAATGAAAATAAAGTATTCAGCACTCAATATTAAAATTGAGTTATTTACCACAGTGAACAAAATATTCAATTTATTTTATAAAAATGAATTGATAACAGATTTTATGGTAGGAAAAAAATCTCTGGGAAAAAAAAGTCTTGGGGGTAAAAAGTCTGTTTTGGCAATTTTGGTTATAACCTGCAAGAAAATATTCTTTTATTATCTATAAACAATTCCAAATTTGTTTTGAACACAATCTTGTTGTTTAAATTCGTTAATTTGTATTGATGATCAAATAACAATAATAATTGATAAGATATTAAAAAAAATACCTTTTTTGTATCATTTATTAAGTTTGAAGTTATAGTTATGACTTATGATTTTCATAATTATATCATACGGCACTAAAATTTAAGTAAAAAGAAAAAAAGTCCTAGGGGGTTGGGGGTATCGCCACTTCACCCCCCCCCTCAAATCCACCACTGAATTCGAAAATAGGTACCATGTAAATTCGTAATCAATCATAATCCGTTTTCAAAATTGAAATCTGTTGAATCAAATTCCTTCAGTTTTGTATGGCTTTTTGGTCTAAAGACTAAAAGTCACTTTTTTTTTCATCGACTAGAGCCCTTTTAATGTCAAACATTGTTTAAGAAGACACAATATAATATATAAATCTTTTAATTATATTAATTATGCTTAACATCATAAATATTTTAAGTTACTATTTGTTTATTAATTATTAATTAAAAATATTACCTATACAATTACCTAAAAATAAAAAAGTGAGTAAGTGGATGTCGCTCTGCTGTACAGTATATTACAAGTGAGTCAATGTATAATGGATTGTATTAAACTTGAATTCAATGATATAATATCATTGTATAAGAAAAACGATTCTGAGCGGTGACGGTTTGTCAGTTTGGATATTTTATGTTGTAAGTTGAATTAATATTATTATATTATTATTTTTTATTCGATTCTATGGTGATAAACAAAACGTTAGAAATTAAAATCCCATTTTTAGTGGTTTTTTGTAATTTGTCAGTGGTGTAAGGTTTTTCCCATGGCATTAAAAACTATTGAGAAAATCAAAAACGTTGAAATCATAGAACTTCAACTGGTAGAACTTTTGTAAACAGGATAAAAAAAAAAAATTAAAAAAATAAACACCTTTGCAAAACTACTAGCTTCTTCGCTCCGAACAGAATCTAAAATATTATTAGTTCATCTTGTCTATTTACTACAAATTATGATATAATCATTATCACATAATAATTTACTAAGAAAATGTTAATGTCCAGAAGACTTCATATATCCTCTAAAATCAAAAAATATCCATTTTTAAAAATATCTTTAGATAATTATGACATTTAAATCATTGTTAGTGCATACATGGCTACATCATAATCTTGTATAGAATTAAAATCTAATAAATAGCATAAGTATATTAGGTTTTTTCGAAGGTTGTAACTTGTAATAACATAATAATAACTAGTTTCGAATTTTAAATTAATTAAATAAAATTTTACAAATCACCCCTGATAAATATCACCACAATACAAAAATATAGTACAAAATATGTTATCATTCTACATCAAATATCAATAAAATTATACGTACTTTTCAACCATTTTTCTCGTTTACCAGCAGAAGCAGGCATAACCCAAATTGCAATAACTAGAATAACTGTAAACGTTATAAAAATATTCTTAATACAAATCATTTTGATTTAATATAAGAAAATAATAATAAATATTTTGAAAGTTGAACTGTTAATAAAATAAGATAATATTTCTCGTTTATTTTTATAAGCGATATAATTGGTAGCCACTACTGCAATCTACTATCTACTCCTCAGCACAAAAAAAAATAATGTTTTCAATAAGTTGCTTATTTATTTATCATACCAGAGAATAATATTATTCTCCATATGTTGGAGTTCATACATGTGTGTATACTTTATACACATTCTATTTTAATATAGAGTAAATAACACAACTTATAGGTACATATCTTGTACACCTGTATAATAATAATCTATGTTCACAGTAAAGCTGAGTTCACACGACACGGTGTAGTGGAACCGGCCCCCTTAAGTCTGAGCCTATACCTAAATTTGTTTGAATAGCCTCCCCCTCACATATGTTTAAGAAAATAAAAAAAATATTTCTTTGGTCCATGAAACATTGAAACTTATTGCAAAAACAATTTGTATAGCCGTACAGAAACCGAAACCTAAAATAAAACATGGGCATCAGAATACCTTCTAAACTTATGGGGGACCCTAACCTTAGTTAAACCAACTCAGTCTAAACACATTATCAATGTTAGATTATTGTGAATCTTTAAATATTAATAAAATGTCGGAACGATTCTGGTTTTAGCAACTTTTCGATTTTTTAAATTTTTTTTTTCAAAATGTGTATTAAAGTGTGCTTTTGAAGAATGTAAAAAAAAAGTCCTGACAAACTTCGTTTTGAAGTTATTGATTAAAAACTTCAAAAACTAAATTGTTTTCGTAACGCGCAATAAAAAAAAAAAAATACATAGAAATTATAATTGAATATCGCTTGGACTAAAATATCGAAAATATTCCCCGATTTGCTAATCGTATGTAAAACCTCATAATTAAACAAAGATGTTAAAAAGCAAACAATGTGCTAGCGTTGCCACTCGCTCGCTGCACTGCGCTCAAAAATACTAATACAAATTTAAATTTTCCTATGCCTTTAAATTTCTCATAATTAGCATATACTTTTCAAATTATATGGTGTATAAAAAGAACACGTTTCGCCCCCATCCGTTTCGTCCCTGTCAAAAACACCAATACACGGACGTTTCGTCCCCGGCAACTATTGAGATAAGACATTTCGTTCCGGATAGTTATTTTCCATAGGACGTTTGGTCCCCGGCATTTTTTCATTAGGTATACTGTATAGGACATTTGATTCTAAGGTTATAATTACCTACTTCAAAGTTCATTATTTTAAAGTATTTGAGTAAAATTAGTCAAATATTATATTAAATACTTTTTTTTATTCTTTTAATTCTTGATTTGTTTCTACTTATAATTATTCTTGTTAAATAAAAAAACCATGCCGTCGTGGTTTTACTTTAACATTATAATAATTTAATATTATATAATTATTTAACTACTTTATTTTTAGAGTATTTGAGTAATTACTTAAATACTTTTAAAAAGTATTTTTTACAACACTGCTAATACAGTACCTATACATAGGCTATAGGTAAGTAATAAAGATTGTTCGTGTACTATACAGCCTAACAGGTTTGTGAGCTGAAATTCTAAATTTATTTTAATACATTAAATGATGGGATTTTCAAATAGGTGTAGAGTATTTAGTATCTATATCAAAAGTTATTAAGATAAACCTATTCGATAAAATGTTGTATAATTAATACCCACAATTATTCTACACACTCACTGTACACAGTTATATTTTGTTCGTATTGTAGTGCGTATACAAGTGCGTAGTGTATAGTACAAATATGGAGTGTTTAATTACAAAAAGAAATAAAAATAAATTAATTTACAAAGATTTTTTACATTTTGAACAAAAAAAAGTAAAATTAGGAATCCGGTGGGTGTGTGTTCACAAAGACATGTGCAATAGAACAATTACAACAGATGAAGAAATAACTACCGTTTTTAAATTTGGAGCTCACAGTCATGAAGGCGATCCACATTTTATTAACGCAGAGAGAGCTAAATGTACTATGAAGGAAACGACAAGAAGAAATTATGATTTACCATCTCGAATTTATGCAGGGAATGTGGTTAATTTATCAAACAAAAGCAAACAATTTATTGGTAATGAAAATTCGATAAAAAGGTGTTTGCGGCGTATTCGCAGCAACATATATATCTATCCAAAAATTTCAAAAATAGATGATATTTCACTGGAAGGAACACATTGGAGTATGACTGGTAAAGAAAATTCAGAGTTTTCAATTCCACAAAAGAAGGATATGGTCGGACGTGTCAGAAGGGTTTAACAATAAATTAAAAAATATTGTAAGAATTAAACATCCTAACTTGTATATATTTATTGAATCAATAGAGATGTGCAATTCGTCTGCAACGACTAAATTGGTACAACAACAAAATGAAATAATAAATGTACCAAAAATAGTTAGTTTTAAGGAAAAGAAATTGCAATAATATTGCACTGAAAAAAAACCCGGATCATATTAATAAAAACATATGTTAGTTTGACAATTATCTTGTAGCTATTCAGCCGGCAAGATTTTTGTCAAACCAATATATATTGGATTGTTAATACGATCATAGTAATTTAATCATCTTATATCATCATTTTGAGAAATGTGTTGTTAAAATGATAGTAGGAACTGTTAATTATAATAATTACTGTTCTTGTAGCAGTGACAATTATCTTGTCAGCATACTAATATTTTTTACAGGTGAAATTGTTAAAATGATAAATAATTCTATAAATTGATAATTTATATGATAGATTTAAAAACTTTATTATCAATCTGAAAATATGAATTGTCGAGTTACGTTAAATATACTTGTAGAAATAACAATTATACTGATCTTTATTTGACCATGTGTCTTATTAACACAACAATTATTATGCTAATTTATAAAAAAATTATTTTTTAAAATATGTATTTAATTAATAAAATACAATAGTTATAATTTCTTTGATTTTTAATGAAACACATCTTCTTCTATATTCATTTCACAGTCATTTTTTGATGTATAGAACACATACTTCATAAACACATATTAAAACTAGTTGAAATAAATAAATAAAAACAAATATTAGTTAATTGAAACAAAAACTTTTATTCTTTTTTAATATAAGTATTTTAATAATATACATAAGTAATGACAATTTTAATTATTATAACTTTAAATAATAGTCGCAGTATAAAATTTATGAAAAACAAAAAAAATTATTTTTTAAGTTCTGATAATATTTGTGCCAGCTTAGGATGTGGTTGATCAAATTTTGATCTCAGTCCAAAAAACAGACTTTGGATAAATAACCACACAATGTAAGACTGTGTTGGATACTCCAAGTTGAAAACATAAAATATCTTGTAGCATACTTCTACCGATCTTAAAACTGAATGCAAGGGTTTCAATATAATGACGATAATGACATTTTATTCTATTTAAAAAACATAATTCAGTTGACCTAAAAATAAATATATAATTTATCTTAATATTATAGTACCTATTTAATTTTAATTTTTAATTTTACTACATTTTGTGTTGACTTAATACAATTACGATTTATTTAAATCATGACTATTTGTAACTGTATTGTACGATTATAAAGTTTGTAGTATTATCATTTAAAGATTAAATTGTTCATTAAAAATTAATACATTTAGATTATCAAAGTATGCAGTGGACCAAACGTCCTATGGCTAATAACTCTCCGGGACGAAAAGTCCTATCTCAATAATTGCCGGGGACGAAACGTCCGTGTACTGGTTTTTTTGACAGGGACGGAACGGATGGGGCGAAACGTCCGTTTACCGTATAAAAAACCTCCCATAAATACCAACAAAATTCAATTTTCTATCACAAACCACTCTCAAAGCTCATAGTTGAAGATAGAAGCATTTTTGTGACTACTTTTTGTGTATACATACATAAATATTAAATATAACACAAAATTGTAAAAACAAAATAGGCAATGCTCAAGGCTTTAGTGTTATTTAGAGAAATATCGATGGTTAGAAGGTAAAAGGGCGTAAACTCCACATTTTTCAAAATCGATGTTATTGCATATTGTTGTAAACGGCATTATTGTATATCGATTAATCGAACCTAAACATTGTTATCATTTGTATTTTATATCCATGAGTCGATGTTTTAATATGTGTTCGTAAACGGCATAGAATTGGTGGGAATGAAAAAATTGGGTGTAAACGTCAATTAAAAGATGTAAACGGCATTCAAGAAACTTGATAAGACGTAAGCGTCATTGTTGACGGTTACATTAATTTTTTCATTTTTGTTAGTGGTTTTGTCAAAGCTTTAAAAAGCGTTAAGCGGCATGATAATACAATGAGCGTTCGGTTCGTTTGAACAGAACAGTAAAATTGATAGGTACCAGAAACAGTCAAACATCTCAAACACGAAATCGAAATTTATTTAAATACTAATTTGTTAGTAGACATTATTTAGTTGTTTTAATGGTTAAACTCATTTAACTCTAGGTAATAAATAATTGTGTTACTGTTACAATTAGTAACATCGTATTTATTGTATTTGTTATTAACATCTTATTTTCCCATGATAATGATATTATCTAGTTAATCAAAATGCATGCAGAGTTTATGTTTAAAACGATTAGTGTCTAATGGTTTTACATAAATAAATAATCATGAATTTATGCTTAAAGTTAATTGTTTTTGTTAATTGTTATTATTACTAATCATTAACTAAATTCAAGTAATTAAGTCAGTTGTTAAGTCACTTTAAACTCAGTGCATTATATTATACATAAGTATAATTATCTTAGGTTTGATAAGGTACCTACGAGAAAAATGTTCAAAAATAAATTTAATTGGGAATTTTGAAAACTGCCTATCTCGAGTTGTTATCAAAATATACTTTCCCGTGTTTTTTTTCATTTACTGATATAGAGCGATATTTAAGGAGCGAAAAGAGCTCATATATGTTTCAATTTTTAGGGTGGGTTGCATAAACGTTCATTAGCGATTTACAGAGCCGTTAACGCACTAACGATCCGTTAAAAAAAATTGGGTGTTGCTTGAACGACTGTTAACGTTAACGGGTCTGTAAATTATCGGCTATTGGACCTGTAAACTACAGGTCCGATTTTGGTTCGTTAACTTTTAACGATCCGTTAAATATGGTGATAAGAAATATTAAAATTTCTTATCAGCCACATTTTTTTTTATTAGTATTAATAATATAATCAGCAATCATTGTAATCAAATTAAATGTGGTATAATTTATTTGGTAGTTATGGTTATCAATAAAATACAAAATAATAATAATCTTTTATGAAACTCATTTTTTTTTTACAAGCCGTTAACGAGTTAACGAGTGATTAAGTTACAGGTCCGTGAAAACATTTACAGACTGGTCTTTATGCAACCGGCCCTAAATCCCTGTAATCCTCGTATACATTTCGAAAAGTACTTAAATCTCTGAAAACTTAATGAATCACTTTTCCAATAAAAATTTACTTTAAGAATGTTATATTACGTAGGCATAACATTAAATAATAGTCCGTAATTTTAGAAAAAAAAATTAAAAATTAAATCAGTTTTTTGTGTTTCCTGAAAAATTTGAATTTTCAGTTATGAGCCCTTTTCGAAATTCCTGATTCAATTGGATCCTGTTTAAATAATTGGCTAATATTCAGCTTTAATAATTTTCTAAGTGCCTATATACTAATTGTATTTTTATATTTTTATGCAGATTTTATTAAATTAATAAATTAATTATTTTCACATAATAATGATTTTAAATCTTAAGTTTATATTTACAATTTATGAAATACTTTTACTACATATTATCTTCATTGAATTTAATGAATAATATAAAACAAATAAAACAATATTTTATTTAAACTATGGAAGCCATTATAGTCAATAGAACATCTTTGGGGTGTAAGAGCCAAGATCAGAAAAGAATTGGCCTAAAAGTCATTTTTTTTAAAATTGGCTTTTAATACAAAAATATAATATGATTATGAACAATTAATCAATACAAAATACGTAAAAACTCATTATAAATCATATTAATTCTCAAATCGAAGTGTTATACGATGCTCTGAGGTTGTAACACAGATCATATGAAAATATCTGTTTTTCTGCTCTCTCGAACAATTTGGAAATCGGCGTTTACGCCCTTCAACCTTCTAACCATCGATATAGTGAATTGATAGAAATAGATATTATGTCTGAAGTTAAATTTAAGTTTAATATTGTCAAAACGTTGGGTGTCAAATATTGTAAGTTAATACAATTTTAGCTCTCTGAAATAGAGATTAAGTTTCTTCGTAAACGATTTGGGTACACATTGTTTGATTTCGGTTACGATTAGTTACTGAACTTTTTCTAAATTTTGGAATAGGTCAGAAATTGATTCGAAATAGTCAGGTGTCCAACACCATGAACGTAAGATTTTAAGTTCAAATATAATCGAAATTAGATGTTAAAAGAAGAATATTGCTTATAGTTAAATGGTTGTAGTTTTAATATATTCTTCGAAGGTACTTGAAACTTTTTAAGTGTATTGTTATATCATGGACACGAAATGATATTTTAAAAGCCATTTTCCTGCAAAAATTAATGTAGCCTATAGTTTTATGCCACGTATAATAACGATTATACATCTGTTTAAAATGCATTGAGTTTGTACCATGTTTAATTTGTATATTAAATATATATTCAGGTGATAAAAACAATTTGAACACCGAATAATATGAACTACTTGCAAGAAACCTCGTTTTAAATTTTCAATACTTAGATAGCTATAAAAATTGAACACATTTTTATACATTTTCAAGTCCAGGGCTTGAATCCGATATTGGATAAGGCAATATTTTGAATACTGGTTAGAGCCGTTAAAAACCGAAGATAAAATCGAAAAAAATCAATACTTAACGGTAGTCAAAACTTAAATTTAAATTGGAAAAAATAAATACTAATATCCGAAACCGAAATCACAATCGAAAAAATATTTTCGGTTTCAAGACCTATTTTTAACTACAACAAAATTTAAAAAATATCAAAATGTCGATGAAGTTCATCAAATTTTGAATTTTTGATGCTTAAAAAAAATCCTGCATACGTATCTTCAATATGTTTCAACTGCTATTAAGAATATAATACATTATTATCTAAATATACAATTAAAATATGTCCAAGTATATGGTTATACATAAATGTATACATTAATATTTTTAAATAAATAAATAATGATTATTGTCTATTGGTGATAAACAATAAGGAATAACTAAATTCATATTTTATTG